TGTGTTTTGATGTAAATAAACAATCTGTTGTATACGCCACTTGGAACTCAAGTTTCAAGGATAGCTCGCGACAACCCCCCCCACTTTAATATGACGAACACAAAGAGAACTTTCAAAAATTTAACGGGGACTGTGTCATTTTTAATGTCTTGTTTTTACCTTTCGTTATGATCGACCAGTTCTTACCAACCAGTTGCAAATCGTAAACAAGTGCAACGGCCAATAGTTAGATCACTTCACATAAAAACATACTCTACAATCATGTGATATTGTTCACAATTTACTGCTTTCTATATGTTATTCCCTACTTTGGTAATAAACAAAAGCAATCCTGCATCTCTTGCCAGAGGGCGCCACTTACAATGTTTTACCCCAAGTTGAGTGAACTACAGCATGGAAAGTTGTGAGAAATAGGTGTTAAATTTGAGTTTTTAAGTGTAATTTTTAATGTTCAAAACACTTGATTTTTGCAAATTTTATTAGCATTTATTTATAATCACCAGTGAACCATTGCGTGGCCTATTATGCCATGACATAAACTACATATTTCACAAAACCACAGCGTATACTAATAAGCATCCACAAGTTCAAATACTCTGTCATTTACATCTAATTATATACTATTACTACATATTTGCTGTATAATTCTTCTTTTCACCACCAGACTTTATCGCCAAAATTTTTCTTCACTTTTTTTATTTATTCTTCAATATTTCTGGAAATGAACCGTAATTTTGGAGCCAACAGACACAATTGAAGTCAATTTTTTTTTTCATTCAAAATTGTTTTCTATTTTTGTCCCCAATTTTCTGAAGAAAAGTGCTCTTCTAATAGAGTAAATATGATATGGAGTGCTACTGTGTAATATACATAAGAAATGATGGTATATTTTGTGCCATGTGTTAGTGTAATCATAAAACCTCTATGCTTCATAGATTGTAATTATATTATTCTCTCTCAGGTTTTCTTAGTTTATTTCATTGCTGGACTAAAGAAGTTAGATGATGACTGGGTGAGTGGGTATTCTATGGAGAGTCTGGCATTACATTGGGTTTTCAAACCATTCAGGTGAGATAAACATGTCTTACCGTCGTTGACACACATTAACTTTTAATATAGTTGCGATATGAACTATTTCTATGTTCCTATATAGGATTGCGTTTTAATTGGAGTTTAATTAAACTCAATTACAATGCAATACAACTTAGAATTGCATTTTATAATCAAGTTTAATTAAAAAAAAATAAGTTGAATATCACGTGACTTTAACTTGAAACATAGAAATGTTTGCGAAGCTTAGGTTTAGTAAAGGGGTTAGGTATGGTACAGCTATATTATTAATAATATAAATTGAACCCTACCTACCCCTTTTACGAAATTTAAGCTTCGCAAACTTGACTTAATTTTGATTGAATATTAATATAAATTATGAAAATAGTCAGAGTCGTCACAATGTAGTTCCTGTCTTCACAAGTCGGTGAAAAGTTAAATTGAGGTCGTCACAACGTTTGTAGCACACACACACACACATACACACACTCACACATTCACTCGCTCGCTCGCTCGCTCACTCACTCACTCACTCACTCACTCACTCACTCAATCAATCAATCAATCAATCAATCAATCAATCAATCAATCACTCAATCAATCAATCAACCAATCAATCACTTGCTCAAACACTCACTCACTTGTTCAATCAATCACTCACTCACTCAGTCCAGTAATCACTCAATCACTGTATCAATTCATTTGTCTACTATTTCTAATCCGTTTTAGCATCATAAATATTTCCAGAAAAGTTTTTCTTTACTTTTTTGATCATACCCGGTAGATCACAAGTTGTTATTCATAAATTGTGTAGCCAAATGCAAATCATTGTTTAGAGGTTGCCGATGTTACATGGTTTATTTTGACCAGTGTCTGTCAAGACTAAATTTTAGCCTAATTAAAATACTAACTTACTATTTAATTTTAAATTCCAGATACTTTTTGACACAGGATCAAGTTGGGTTGTTCATTGTACATATGGGTGGATTAAACTATGACCTGATGGCTGGATACCTCTTATTTTTCGATAAAACCCGGCCGATTGGAATATTTCTCAGTTTAATGTTCCATGGAATGAATTTCTTCATGTTCTCAATCGGTAATTAAGACCTTTTTTTTTTTTCGCTAATTGATAGAAATGTGATTATGTGATCCACTGCTGACCTTTGACCTGGCGGTAACCAGTATAGCTTTGCGATTCACTGCATACTGGGATCCCACAGATAAAATCAGATTTGAGCTTAATTTCTAAAGCAACAGAGCAATCAGTGATAAAGCAGCTACCTGGGAAGGTGTAGAAGGTAGGGCAAGTCACTGGAAGTGACTAATCAAGGATGAGGCCCTGTAGTTTATATCATCAGTTCCAATCGCTACCACTATTTGTTAGTAATGCTTGAATGCAGTTTTAGTCCAAGATTGTCACATACGGCAATGCATGCAGAACAATTGTCAGCAAAATAAGATTTAACTAAAATAAAGATTTAAACAGAACCTGAAAAAAACAAGCGAGATTCATTATACAGATGCTAGAACAAAAGTATTAGGTAGAGATGATCAATTATATAGACAATATTGTCTACTCACCAAATCTAACATACTTTTCATTGTTTTAACCGCTTAAGACCAATTTCCTTAATTTCTCATGAACTATACAGAATCTAATCCCCTCCTTTATGATGCTTACATAGGTCCATAAAAGATTTTCTGTCGATCATTAAAAATGAGAATGCAACTTTAAACATTGTTTTGTTCTAGGCATGTTTCCGTGGACAATGTTAGCAACTATGTTTATATTTTGTTATGCCGATTGGCCAAAGAAGCTCCTCCGTCGTCTTCCAAAGATACTTCAACGTATGTACCCTTCAGTGGAAGTGGCCCAGCCGAGTATTCACTGTATTTATGATAATAAAGTAAGTCAATATAAACTTATGGACTTCGAGTC